TACTTGGTCAGTGTACCATTTTAGGGGTCAAAATTTTTTTCGGACATTCCAAAAAAGAGGCCAAAAAAATTTTCCGGACAAAAACCAGTTAAATTAAAGGTAAAAAATTTTTTTTCGACAAATTCCTGTTATCACATTGCAGGAAACCATTATTGGGTTGTTCCAGAAAAGATCCATACCACCCCCCCCCCCCCCACGGAGGAAATTTTTGCTGTCCGAAGGGGGAGGGAGGAAAAATGTCTTAGGATGTCCGAAGGGGGGAAGAGGAAAAATGTCTTAGGATGTCCGAAGGGGGGGAGAGGGATGTGGATATGTTTGTCTGAAGGTTTGAGACTGTGATAAAGCTATGTGATCGGCGATTATAATGAGCACGCAATTTTTATCGGCTATATGTAGCTCTTGAACACCGGAACGTTTATGTAACAGCAATAATTATACGTCCATGTAACTCGTAAGCAAAATAAGCGGCCCACTTTTGCATGCATGGCCACCAAAAACTAACTCGCTGTAACAGCGTATCCTGCATGTTGAGAATGAGTCGAAAATTGACACGCTTTATTTATATAGTTTGCAGTTTTCGTTCGCCATATATAAGTTTGAATTATTCAAGTGTTAAAATAATAGTTATTAAACTGTTGCTCGAATTAAGAGACTGCTATGTGAACTGAACTCAAAACAATTTGTTTTAGTATATAGTCAATAAAGCTTCCTTGCGAGGTGCGTGTCTAGAAAATAGAAATGGCTTTCATATTAAGGGCGAGGTTTAGGAATGCAGTAATACTAAAAAATGCATTAACGTAAACACAGCAACGCTTGTCAATCAGTCGCAAGTTACATCGAATTTCAGTCCGAATTTTACTTGAACGAATTTCGAAGTAAATTTCTGCAAATTATCCGACAAAACCTGCCACGTGTTTGTGTTCGCAAGTCACAAGAAGCCGCCAAGTGTTCCGCCACGCCGGAGCTATTTGAAAACAGCGTAGAAAAGAGGCAGGTGTAAAAGTCGGATCGGATTGCCAGTCCGGGTCGGATTAGGTCGGATCGTGCAGGTATAAAAGTCGGACCGGATCGCCAGTCCTGGTCGGATTAGGTCGGATCGTGCAGGTATAAAAGTCGGACTGGATCGCATTGATGACCGAATCGCTAGTCCAGCCGTGCCAAATTGCCAAAACGAAAATACACGCTTCACATGTGAAATTTGAAGATGCAGAACTCTGATCAGAAACATCTACACTATTGTTTTCATTATACATATATGCAGCTTTATTATCACAAAATTTTAAAATAGCCATGGCAATAGCTGGATTCCGTCTGGTATAAGTATGAAACGAAAACTATCGGACGGATAAACTCGAAAAAATAGGAGACCCTCACCATCCAAGTCAGGGCCGTCCTCAGGAAATTCTTCAAGGGGGGGGGGGGTGTAATAAGGTCAATTCAACCGACTGGTTCA